CTATCTCTCCAGCGGTGGCGAATGGGAAGATTCCCCTTCTTCCTGGTGGCGATGGTTTTCCTGCATGCCGGGCGGTCCATCACATGGCACTACTGGTGGGATTTTACCAAAAATTGTAGTTTTCGAAGGGGGGAGGAGTTTTCTGACGGGCTGGACAAGGCTGGGGAAGGAACATTGTCTCGAAAAATAGAGAAAAATAGAGGATGGAAAATTCCAAATTTGTCTTTGATGCCTAGACGCCACTTCTTGTCACCGCTCTTTCATCAGGGGCGAAGCAATCGTGCGACCCAACGGAACCCAACAGGTTTTAATCGTTGGTTCTTGAGATTTTAAGCCGCTGAAGCGTATCAGGTCATCAGGAACGTTGAGGGTTTGGAAGTTTGGAGATCTGTAACCAATGCCTCTGTGGACGGAGATGCTGGACGCGGTAACTTCGGCAGAGGGATCATTGGAACTGATGCGTTGGCAGTTCCCCAACCATGCATGTTCGCGACCCCTTCCCTTCCAGCTGCCTTGGTGTGACACAGTGACGCCAAATATGTATGATGTAGGTCAGGACGCAGACAGGCGGCTGGCTTGCTTCTGCCTTCCACATCGGAGCCTTGCCTGACGATGACATCGTCTGTTCCTGCCGTCGGTAGTCACCGCCTAGAAGCAATTTGGATCTCGCGCCCAATCTCCCGATACCATTACCTCATGCCATCTCATAAGTGGGAGACAAGTGGGAGACAATTGGGGTTCAATACGCGCTAATTTATTACCGATGCATCTTAAACCAGAAGGAATAAGAAGAAGGACGGCTCCTTGATATCAGTCCGAGGGAAGGCACGGAACGCAATAGGCGTAGATACCCACCACCGATAACACCTACCCGTAGAGGTTCTCCTACAGTATTGTGTATGCTGGCGACGTCGCAGCGGCTTGCTGATGACGCCACCAGAGAGGTCACGATGGTCCAGGTGCGTCAGTTCCCTTGGGAGGTACTCGAGTACATTGTAAGCGAAGTTCCCACCACGTATCGCATTTCCGTTCTTCCCCGAACCATTCAGATGGCCCCTTCCTAACTCTCCTAGCGTCAGATTATCGGCGACCGAAGTCGGGAAGAGCGTCACGGCTCAAGACTCTGTGGGTGGGTTGTGTGAAGGCGAAATCAATTCACATGTGATTGCGATTCCTTCTGTGCTCTGACGCGATGGTAGAGAAGGTGTGTGTATTCTAGATTATGTGTATGTGTGTTCGACGTGTATGGTATGCGTCCGTGCTGGATGCAGATTCGAGAATCTACAGCCATTCAGCTATCAATTAATGTGAACACCCATGTCTCCGCCTCTGAAAAATCCGGGGTAATGCGACACCCGGAAAAGTTGAGGCCAGGTCCGGATATCTCCGGAATTCTCGGGCCACCTCCTCCGTTGATTCGGCGCCTGGATAGCCCCGAAATCGAGGAGATCCCAGAAGACGGAAGAAAATAAAATCAATGATGAAAAGGGAAGGAGAAAATGAGCGGGCCCCCCGACGGCTTGTTTATTCCAGCTACGTTCTCGGGCTCGGCCGTCCCAAGCTCCTTGTTTTGCGCTATTTTCAGATTGGAATCAAGCTCGGCTCTGCGAACGATCCTTCAAGTCTTAGCTGTATGCAGTTGGTCATTCCGCCCTAAAACCGACTTATGTATTAACATCTCATTGCTGAGGGCTTGTTTGGAGATCAGGTTTAATCAATCGCCGCATCCTACGCGTCTCATCTGGCTCAGACAAACTGGTCCCTCTGCCAGTCTGCCCCCCAAATAATAGAAGCCGGGGCTGGTGGCAGATCTTCTCCTCACCCTGGGTTATATTACCGGCTTTCAGAGGCTCATAAGCTATTTTAGACATGCCACTATCCTTCCTTATAGGTTTCTGATTATTTGAGTCCATCAGCGTCTTGGTAGGATCCTATATTGTCATCTTGAGCTGCTACTATAAGTCTCGTTCGCTTGCCGCGTGGTGATCGGAGGAGAACTCGAACTGGATAATCCCCCAAATCCTGAGAGCCAATCTACCGAGGTACGCTCAGCTTAACATCCTCTCCGGCTCAGGGGAGTCCTCCAGCAGTTCACAGCTTCGTCCCCAATCGGTTCCAGGGTCATTGCATATTGCTACTGGATCGCAATGACTCTGTGAGCTCCAAAGACATTGACTAGCACTCGAGGCAGTACTGGGGTGTTAGGCCGATGGAATACTACAGTCAGAAATGAGGTCTTGATCACTGCTATCCATCCCTTCAAGAGCCGCTGGCTCGGGAATTAATCTTGTTAGGGAGTTTGCCCCGGGGGGGGGGGGGTTCTAAATAAAGATTATCAGAGTGCAAGGGATACTCAATCTACCTCCAACGACCCGCGTCCTCCATCTGCAGCGAATAGCTTTGTGCTCCACTGGAATTTCTCGGCAACAGTCACCAAAGGAGCTTTCGGCCGTGGAGTAGTCTGGGGTGCATCGGCTCGGTTGGATATGAGCGGCACGCACCCCAAATCCTGAAGACAAAAGGGCCTTCTCCTTCCAACCTCGTGAGTCGCACAGGCTCTTCTCCCATTCTATCCTTAATCACTTGCCTCTCTCTACCAGGGTAGCAAATTAAACAAGATGGTATATTAGGTTGGTCAGTGTTGACAAATTGGCAGAAAGTCCTCCTCTCATCTACGTCCCGTTCTTTAGCCTGATTAACTGCACTCCCCACCTGACTTCCTATTACCTCCTATTTGAGAGCACGATTCGAATAGGTGCAGGTGAGTGCCCAGTTAAGCTTTTCGATATCTGCAGAACCCTGGTAACGAGGAAGTGGAGTTCGGAGTGGAGGATCAGAACTGTCAATCTCAAGCATCACGTTCATGGCGGAAATCTATTCTGGGCCCCATGGTGCCCAGGATGGATTCAGATCGCCCGCCTCGTGATAAATCATGACATTGGCTTGCCGTGATCAGGAGAACGCTGAGAAGGAAAACCGAGGAAACAGGTAAACCGAATCCTGGAGCGTCTTTTGAGGAAGGGAGGTTGGTGGCATGAATATTTATATTCACCGCGCTTCCCTCTTCATCCCCACGCCTATTCTCATTATGGCCGAATCACCATAATATGTAGGATCTAGCCTAAGATCTTTCCGGTCTTCTAAAAATTGTCTTTACGACTATTTTGTTCTACTTACTGATTCCCGGGAACGGCTCGAAACAACCAGTGCAAGAGGAGACTCTCTCTCACCCACCCTCTCACCCACACACCCGCACACCCGCACATACACGACCTATTTCTGTACATCTTCCTTCGGACGGGCAGATCCGAAAAAAAGATCTATAACCGGCGTCTTGTATACTTTAGCTACTCGGCTTTACGCACGCAGCTCAGGAACCCTTGGCTAGCTCCGAGAGAGCTGAAACATTCCTCGTCACCTTCCACCTTGCTTCCAGAAGCCGAGTACCCATTCTATCCTGCATCCAAGAACCAATTGATATCGGGGGAAGATGTCTTGCGCTCGCTCGCTCCTCATTCTCGGGCTCGCCATGGGCTCCGTCACGGCGCAAGGGTTCTGGACAAACTGCACACGATGGGCCCTCGGTTTCGAAAATTCAACGATTTACCGGAACATGATGTTGGCCGAGTGTAGAGACGATGAGGAGAAGTTACATACATCCTTCATCTCTCTCAATGACTGTTTAGCGAACCAGGAAGGCCAGCTAGTAGCAAAAGCTAGGTGAGTATCTTCATCCCAATTGGCCTTTTGACATTCGTTCAAGGGGGGGCATTGGCTAACCCGGGTATCTCTGTTCTCCCAATGCAGCGGCGGGTTTGAACCAACTTGCGCGAGGTGTTCGACACGCCGCTCTAACTTGACGTGTGAATGTGCCCCAACCTGGGGCCGGCCAAAGGAGACATCTATAGACTTGAGTAAGTCCAGCGGTTCATCTCATACACTAGGAGTGATAGGAGGCGTCCTGATCAGCGTTTAGATACTGTAATCAGCAACGTGGACGGCATCATCTCATGCTTTGGCTTCCTAGGTAAGTTCCCTAATCGTGTTAGACGTGGACTAGGTGGTTCTAACTAGTTTTGTAGGCGTGGAAATAGACGACTTCAACTCGAGCCCAGCATAATGCAATATGGGCATATACGAAACTGAGAAAAGGAACCCCCGGCATTAACTGGGAGGCAACACTCGTCAATACGTCGAAGCCTTGATGGTCGTTGATGGGAGACGCCCTACTAAATTATTAGCTCATCTGTCACACCTGCCCAGCTCTATAGGACCTGGAGCCACAACACTAGTAGCCATCTCATGTCCATTTCCACTCGCTTCTACCTCCATAATCATGCCTGTCGCTATCGCTACCAAGAGGCTCGGATGGGACAATCACGCATACTCCCTGGAAGGAAAAAGGACTTATCACAGCATCATCTCCAAACATATTCACTCGATACCCTGAGTTATACCACCCTCGCTGAGATCACCGCAACCTAGTCACTAAGAAAGTTGCCACAAATTACAACCATGCTTCGATGTTACCTGTTAAGAACTCACTAAAGAATGAGGATGTAACGGGGTGGGTGCACGCATATATATATATATGTATTCCATGTATTGTATATACAACGTAGTGCTTGCCAACGAGTTATCACTCGGGCAGCTCTTTTCCCCTCTGGATCTTCATCTCTCTTGATTCCAGAAATGCGTATGTACCCTAAACTCCATGCTGAATCTCAATTATCACAAAAAACAGACAGGAAAAGATTGGGCGCTGTGTAAGATTGCCCTATCCTTTCAAATTTTTTTTTCTCCTTTTATACAAGCCGCCGAGATTCTTCAACAATCTCAGCGTAGCCTTGTATATGGGGCCCCGCGGCCTGCGGACTCGAAGCGAATTGGTCTTGAAAGGCGCCAAGGAGCGCCAGGCCCTCTTCGATGCCAAGATTCCCCTTCCCTTCGCTTCCTCTCACTCTGATATCACCTTGCAGTGCCAAGTGTTGGATACCGCTTCACCCATCGACTTCCCTCCTCTTAAATAACAACTCCACATTCGGATCAGGCGCTTTACTCATAACAACCATCATAGGCCTCGGCCTCTCCTGCCCCTCCCTCAACTTCACGTCGTAATTCAGCAAGAAGTAAGCCAACGCCATCTTGACCTCGTTGCCGGCGAAGAACCTGCCGGGGCACGCGTGCTTGCCTGCGCCGAAGTTCATGTTGGTGTCGTTGATGGAGGTGAACTGCCAGCGGTTGGCGTCCTCGTCGGATTGCCGCCGGAGGTTGTAGAAGCGCAGGGCGTCGAAGGTTTCGGGGTCCGGGAAGTGGCGGGCGTCCCGCGAGAAGCCGGCTTGTGGGGCTAGGAGCTTGGTTCCGGCGGGGAGGTGGGTGCCGTCGGAGAGGTCGATGGGCTTGATGACTTTGCGAATGAAGGAGGCTAAGAGTTTGACGTGTTAGTTACCTTTCTTTTCTTTTCTTCTCTCGAAGATAATGAAACGAAGCCCGAAGGAGAGGGTTGATCGAGAGGAGGAGAGTGAGGATTTATCGTACTGATATTTCCAGACAACCGCTGAACCTCCTTCATGAAGCTGTCCATCTTCTTCAACTTAGCCATGCTGTCCTTCCTCGCCCACCCCTGCTCCACCTCCAAAACCTGATACGCCTCCTCCCTCAACATATCCTGCACCTCCGGATGCGCCGCCAAATCATACATGCAATCCGTCAGCAAATTATTCGTCGTATGGATCGAAGCCGCAGATAAAATCAGCTGCAGCTGCGTCTGCGCCGCGATGTCCGTCTTCTCGTTCTCGGGCAGCGCCTCGAGGAGCCATTGGATCAGGTCGTCGGGCGGCTTCTCGTAGCCGGGAATCTCCATGTCCCGTAACCTCTCGCGGATGATGGGTTCGAGGAGCCGGCGCGCCGTGTCGAGGTCGCGGCGGATGGCGCGGATCTCGGAGACGAGGTGCTGGCCGAGGGGGCGGAGCCACTCGGGGAAGAGCTGGAGCTTGACGACGGCTACGAAGACGTGCACGGCGAAGTTGATGGAGGTGTCCATCCATTTTTCTTGGCGGTTGATGGAGGGGCCGACGAAAGCGCGGCCGCTCATGCGGGCGACGGCTCGGAGGGCGAAGGGTTGGAATTTGAAGGGGGTCCAATCTGGAATTTACCATGTTAGATTATTCTCGCGATAGGTGGAAGAGAGAAAGAAAGTTGGTGCACAGAGGGAGAGATCGGCATACCCTTGCATTCGGGGAACTCGGTGGCGGTTATGAACTCGAGTTCTTCCTTGAGTTGGGGAACGAGTCGCGCGAGGTTCTGGGATAACCTCTTACGGACTAATGTCGCGAGCATTTCACCATTGTGGCCGGGACTAAACTTTGTGTACTTGGTTTGAAGCGCCTGGGAAGCATACGGTGTTAGTTCTTGGAGGAATAGAAGCAGATCAACGAAGGGAACGGAACGAATCTTCAAGTCGGACACGGCTTACTTCGCTCACTGCCTCCGTTGCGCTCAAGACATCTTCAGGAAGTCCCTTCAACTCTCCGATTAAGTTCGCTGGTATCAAGACTTGAACACCCTCTGTCGCCTTGATCTGGTATACTTGATCTCGGAACTAACACCACCAGTTAGTATACATCACTGATATCATGTTTGATGGACAGAGTGCTGTTCTAACAGGGGCAGCAGTAGCAGCACCGCCACATATGCCAAGCAACGAGCCGAATGAAGCCTGGGCCACCTGCAATGTTAGACTCACCTTCTTGTAGCTATCGAGAATTAAACTCTCGGCACTGAAGGCCCATTTTAACCTCGAAGCCTTGTAGAAAGGCGCCTCTACCTTCGACTGAGAGGTCCTCTGCTTAAGAAGCCAGGCCAATAACAAGACGGCGCTAATGGCCAGATAGTAAGTAACGTTCTTGCCACCAATAACTACCCATGGCAGTCGAAGCTCGATCGCCGTCGCCATGCTGTACAAGAGGTTGAAATCTCTTATGAGGAGAGGGGATCGAAAGTATGATGCCCTTCTCCAGATAGAATCCTGCTTCGAGGATTAGTGAGATCGCAACCGCAACACCTGCATAAGTGTTTGGGCCTGGTAGAGGTCCCGTTCCCGTCAAGCACCGAGTACCGAGATAGGATTCGGTGACGAGTCAATGTTCTTCCAACGCGTTGGAAGACGGGGCCGGATTGGTGGAGTAATTGACAGAGTCTAAGGGACTCGGTCTGTGAATATGTTCCTCCAAACCAAAACGCACTATGCCATCGAGTCGAATAAAAGAAGTGGTTCGGGAGGAGGTGCTTATAGATTGGTTGGGGAGAATGGATGCTTCGAAAAGAGATACAAACTCTCTATCCTATCATGCCGAATTAGGTGTAAGTAAAGAAGAGTAACGCAAGGCTGAAAGAATTATTTTCTTCCTCGTCGCGATGCCAACCAGCATAAAACGCTTAAGCAGACAGACTCCAATGTAAGTCAACGATGCCGCCGAGGTTGATGTTCCAACGAGTTGATGATACGCCGCTCGAGGTCGACAAGGAAACGTGAGAGATTGTGTGAAGATGCCAAGAAGTCGAAAATGAGAGACACGAAAAAGGGATGAATGAAGAAGAAAAAGTGGATTGGTAGTCTCTAGAAGTTCAGACTCGCCAAGTCTAGAACTGGCAGGTCCGGCATGAGAGGAGGAGAAGTTCAGAAGGGAACGAAACAAGGAACACTTCTTCTTCCCCAAACCCGCATGGGTACGGGATCGACCTGGACAGGCGGGCAACAGCTGTCCAAAACAGCGGGAAAATCGGGAAAAGGTAGGATCAAAGTAAGGATTCAAGACCAAGTCTAAGGGAGGGAGAAGAGATAGAAGGGACGGAACGAGGGGAGAGAGGAGGAATGGAGACACGGCTACGGTTGGGATAGCCACGAAGGAAAATCGCAAACAATACCTCGTAGGGGAGATCCGGACATTGATCCGACGAGCGACGGCGAGGATCACAGATGGAGAAGGGGGGGGGCGAAGCGATGTACAGGATTGCCCTTTTGGTCTCCCTCCCCCCCTTTCCTTCACATTTCTTCACAGCATCCCGAGCGTACTTCACAACAAGCTGGGGCTTTTCCCTTTGGATGCCAATACCGGATCCAGATAGGCGGAAGTAGACACGCTTGGGACGCGATCTGCAGCTGGCAAAAGGCGGGTTCGGCGTCGCGCTTGGTGCTCATCCAACCGATCTGAAACCCGTTCGGTGCCAAGGAGACTGCCGGGAGGAGCCACCTCCGGCACTGCGACCCTGTCCGGCGCCTGTGCTGTGCGTCAGGGAAAACAAGGGTATTGTGAGCGACCGGGATCTACTGGGGTCACGAAGGACACGAAGGGCACTCGTTTGCAGGAATAAAATGACTAAGGGAAAATGAATGAATCCGTGTTGATTTCTAGCTCGTATTTTGTTTTCTCCTCTATTGTTTCGAGAGGCCCTTTTCCAGACAAATCTGCGGCATCGAGCCGGTAAAGTTTTATTCCTTCTCGAGATCGAATGAAAAATTGTTGGAAGTGGGCAGCCGCTGCCCTTTTCGGGACTTACATTGCCCCGATAAGGAACGAAATATCTATGTAAGCACTTCCTATATTCATTGTATTCGTGTTCCAGAATATTCCTTACCCCAACATGCATGTGTCGCAGCAGCTTCGTCGAAGAAAGGAATCAAAAAGCCAAGGTCGCCAAAGTAAAGTCTAGATTTGTTACAGAACCTTATTGATCCCTGTCTGCTACAGGGAGCTCGTACAGGAGGGCGAAATAAGATAATAACCGGCGCGTGGCATTGGACGAGCTGCTGAAGAACGGCGCAGCAGATGCAGAGATTAAGTTTTGCTTGAAGATCGACAAACTGTCACACCAAGACGTTATTTTCCGACACTGACCCCCTTTTCCCCCTTTCCCCCCACAGCCAGGATGCTACCTTGATACTCTCGAGTCTCAACCATACGCGAACCACACAGCTTGCAGCTCCTCTCTCCTTCTTCTATTTCTCGCCAGCGTTTCGTCTCGTGTGAGACTTGTAGCAGCGTTTGACATTCTCCGACTCGTGTGAAGAGAGGTTTTTCCGCCGCTCCGCTACCTTATCCCCGACGGGTTGGGTATGGCCGATGATGGATGATGCCTCTAGTTCAGACTATGTCATGCCTCGAATCTCGTTAGCGAGCTGAGTTAGGTGAAGCTCCCATGCCTAGGAATCGTCATGCGATAGATGGCAGAGGCTTCCTTGCACCACATCAGATGAGGCAAAAGTTGGGACGCCATATAGATTGGAAGACGGTTTCTACACCTCTCTGGGGTTTAATATTGCAACACTTGCAGCCAGCAGTCCCGGCGCTGGTTTACCTTTAAAATCCCCTCGATCTGGTGTCTTTCCTTACACATACGCGCTGTGATCTAACGTTGCTCTCGTCCCGCGCCAACTGTCAATGTTGTCCTTCAAGACACTCCCTGAGCAACCATTCAGTCAGTTGCTGGGTCTATGTCCTTCACTGCCAAGAAAGGTTGACTGATGGACCATTTTGTTCATTCTAGAAATGAACCGCTCGCCAATAAAAGCGGAGCTGGAATCTGCGCCGTGCGGGCTCATCTAAAGCTCGGAATATACCCACGTGGTTGTCGAGATGGGATGCCAAGAGTCCAAAGACTAGGTCTGCATGTGTGGGCAAAAGCCAGCTCTGCCATCTTGGAATGGACATGTTTGGTTAATCTCTAAGAGCTCATCGAATCTCGTGTCATTCCCCCCTTGCCATTGGCCACTATGCCCGAACGACTTACATACCTTCCTATTAGACGAGACGAGTCTCCCACGATTTCACCCCAAGGCATCCATGTCAGTCGACAGCCTTTTCCCAGAGTCCAATCGTCTCCGCTCCCGATGGCAGTGGCCGTAGTTCAGTGGACTGGATGGAAATTTAACTCAACTCCTCTAGCCAGTCGGGGTGCTGGGTCCCAGAGGTTGTCCCAGAGCGAGTTCCAATACCGAGTCGAAAATGGCGTTGACTGCAGGCGATCATTCGCGAGGGACGCAAGTGCGAACCATATCAATCTTCCAGCGTCCAGGGCATTCTTGGAGGCATTGGTCTCCTCTTCTTCGAGGACGACGATCACGCTCCCTACGTGCAGCTTACAGCTCCGTCCCTTTCTCTGAAAACCCTCTCGCTTCTGCCTTTCGGCTCAACCAGATCGGGGAGGGTAATATGAGAACACAAGAGCTCGATCCTATGGCGAGGAAACAGGAGAAACTAGCTGCGTCAACGCTGTCGTGCCTTTCGAGCCATGCTCTAGTTCCCGTCAACAAGGCGGTTGGCAAAAGAGTAGGGTCTTGTGCCGGACCCCCAATCCTGCTCGACCTGCCTCGAGGATACATATGTAATCTAGAACGCTTTGTCACCGGCATTTCTTCTCGACTTGTGCTAGCAGAAGTCGGAAACCCTCTCAGACTCTTGAGAATACCTCTCTGTTGTCTTCATGGAGGTGAACGCATGATATTCAAATGGGTCCGGTTCACTCGGCATACCCATCTTGATATCTCAACTGGCGCCTTCACAATCGGGGAAGGGGGGGTGCTCGATAAGGGGGGCGGCCATTATGGTGATAATAAAAATACGACATTGGGTTTGAGAACACGAGAGAACTGAAAAATACCACTGGTTAAATAATCCTAAGTCTCGGAGTTGTTTGGCGTTTATTTCATGATTATCGAAGATACTAACGAGTGTTCTCCAGAAGATTGAGTTTCAAGGGGCTATTGTGAATACATATTGGCATCCAACCAGCCCCTGGCCAAAGGTGACACCCATCGAAGTCGGAGGAGAGGTGCCCATGTGGAGGACATCTAGCTTTCCTCATATCGTTTATGGCGGCATCGTGGTTTGGATGTCGAAAAGTTGATGCCGAGTTCGTCATGATACACCCCTCAGCAAGTCGTTTTCGTTCGGCATCGGCCATCAACACAAGCCATTTTACACTTTCAGAATGAGATGGAGCAGGATCGAACACGCCGAGGCACGCTGAGGCACGAGCAAGTGGGAAGACTCTTGGCTTCTTGGCCATTCACATACGTCTTTCAGTTCCCACCTTATTGTCAACCTCCAATTGGAACGAGCGGTTGCATTATTGCGAGAGCCTACCACTTGGTCAGAATGGACTTCGATCAACGACTTCCTCAGTGCCGATTGGGCTTCTGCGGACCAATATGAAGTCCCTTCACAGTACCATTTTACAACAGTCCAAGGCTTAGAAGATAGCTTGGATCTCGTTACAGCGGTCTGGGTCATGTACTCAGCCTAGTCACGGTTTTCTCTTGGATCGCATATCAGGACCAGCTCTGAACGACATCCCCTCGTATAGATTCGTCTCGGGCTGTGGGAGTTATGGAAGACACCCAGCGAGCCTCGTACGGTTCGGTTCGGTAAGTACGGCTTGGCCATGGAATAGATAGGATCAAGGAACATTCCGGTCCGACTTCCCCCCTGACCACTTGAACACGATGACCGCCATAGCTCCGAGCCGCTCCCAGCCTTCATCATCCATGATCCTCGTTGAGGCGGAAGGAACTTCCGGAATATCAAGAAAAAGCATGATCATATCAGCAAGGATGCCTGATTATTCGGTCTACCGCATTCTCTTGTTTCGAGGGAACGCGGGAAGAACTTTGCGCCACGTCGCCGAATATCGGCTTAAGGATTGCTGCAAGGCCTCGGATGCAAACCTCGGACGCCCAATTAGACCGAAGCGCGGACACAGAGCCTCAACGAGAAACGGTGTCGCGGGAAAGAAAGAGAAGAAGTCGCGTGCACTGTACAACTGGGTACCGAGTGGTTGCCAGGCTGTGTACGCGTCCGTACCTCTTGGCGATGGCTCCTACATACCTGGAACCGTTTCCCAGGTAGGTGGGAATCTACGAAGTACGAAGAGATATTTCAGCCGCAAGAGAGTGAT